GAACGTCGAGTGGTATTGTGAGAGAGTATGTTAGATAGGTGATGACGAGTAGCCGGAAGGTGACGAAGTGGTTGATGACTGAGAAAAGATCATAGTTATATGATGGATGGTAGTAGTGGAGTGAGTAGGTGATGTCATGTGGTTGTGTGTACTTGGTGAGTAGTACTAGTGGAGTGAGCACAGCAGTGCGTAGGTGTGATTGTAGGTGTAGAACGTCGAGTGGTATTGTGAGAGAGTATGTTAAGTAGGTGATGGCGAGTAGCCAGAGGGTGAGGTGGAGTAGTGAGTAGTGGAGTTAGTAGGTGTGGTGTCGAATAGAGTGAGTATTAGATTACGGTTTGAAATATGTGAGGTCATGAGGTTGTGTGTAGTTTGTGAGTAGTACTAGTGGTGTGAGCACGGCATTGTGTAGATGTGACCGTAGGTGTAGAACGTCGAGTGGTATTGTGAGAGAGTATGTTAGATAGGTGATGACGAGTAGCCGGAAGGTGACGAAGTGGTTGATGACTGAGAAAAGATCATAGTTAGCGAGGCGCCAATGCGAGAGGATGTGGAGTAGGTCCAGTGGGAAGAGTAGTGCGTAGAGGAGGTAGATGATGGCAGAGAGGAGGTTGTAGTTATATGATGGATGGTAGTAGTGGAGTGAGTAGATGTGGTGTCGAATAGAGTGAGTATTAGATTACTGTTGGAAGTATGTGATGTCATGTGGTTGTGTGTAGTTGGTAAGTAGTACTAGTGGTGATAGCACGGCAGTTCGTAGGTGTGAAAGTAGGTGTAGAACGTCGAGTGGTATTGTTAGTGAGTATGTTAGATAGGTGACGGCGAGTAGCCAGGAGGTGACGAAGAGGTTGATAGCTGAGAGGAGGTTGTAGTTATATGATGGATAGTAGTATTGGAGTGAGTAGGTGAGGTGTCGAATAGAGTGAGTATTAGATTACGGTTTGAAATATGTGATGTCATGTGGTTGTGTGTAGTTGCTGAGTAGATGTAGTGGTGATAGCACGGCATTGTGTAGGTGTGATCGTAGGTGTAGAACGTAGAGTGGTATTGTGAGAGAGTATGTTAGGTAGATGATGACGAGTAGCCAGAAGGTGAGGAGGTAGAGGAGGAAGGGTTGGCGGATGCAGGTGAGGAATGTGTTGATGACTGAGAGGAGGTCAGTGAATGGTGTGCCGTTGATGACTGCGTTGAGTTGCTCTGAGAATTGGGAGCAGGTGCGTTGTTGTCCCTTGTCTTTGTCTTTACCATTTAATGCAGTGTAATTGTAGTATACAAAGCCGTAACGGTAGAATGTGGGTAAAACGTTGTGGCATTGGACGATGGTGGGGCATTTGCAATCAACAACGTCATTGTGACAATTGTCTCTGTTTGTGCAATTGGTCGTGGTGCCGTTACAGTGAGTGCAGCTGATTCTGTTGAAGGCATCTAAAAATTGTTGAAGTTGATCGTTGAAGGCTTTCGTGAGATAAACTATACGGGACAAATACGTTCCAGCGAAAGTTGTAGAAATATTACGATAGATAACGAATGACAGGGTGTCAAGGTATTTGCCACAGGTGTAGCCTTTGCTTTTGTTGTCACATTCACTGTTGTAGAGGCTGTGGAGGTCGTCATCGGAGGTGTGGTGAGAGTTACCGTTGTGTTTTTTACCAGCTAGTTTGTTGAGAGCGTTGGTCATGGCATTGGCACCATAGGAATTCCATGGTATATTCTTAGATTCGGTATTGATGGCATTAGCCACGGTGGGAGAACCACCACTAGTCATATTCTCACCAAGCTTTAGGAAGAAAGAGAAGAGATCGCCGACAGTGCGAGGGGAACGTAACCCGGTGCATATTAGACATAGGATTATGTTGTAGAGAGTGGCGTAGTTACGGTCCTTTTTAGTGAAGTAATCTAGTATCCAACATATACAGTTACCAGTGCGTTCGGTGTGTGTGAACATTTCGTGATTGAATCCCATTGGCACGGGGCAATATAAATGAAACTGACGATGGGAAACATGGTCACTATATGGTACAGGGGTGCCACCATTTTTCGATACAAGTTGACCATTTTGAATTTGACATTTATTATTTTTAAGTGATTCACATTGGAAACCGGTTAGACAATCTGTTAGGAAAGCTTGGAGAGGGGAGGGGTTGGTGTCTTTGCCGCATTTTTGGGTGTGTTCAGTGGATTTCGATTGATCGCAGTTACCTTTGGAGTGATCGCCATCATTTCCACATGATGGCGCCGTACAAATCCAGGATGAACAACCAACATACTTTACATCATTACCATATTGACACCAATACCAACCACGACCCCTACCATAACATGTTGCGCATTGCTCTTTGAGAAAGAAAAATTGTGTAATTAGTGCATACACTATATCCCAGAGCTTATTGAACCAAGCAGAGACGTTGTCTGGGTAATTGAATCGGAAGTGGGAATTGGAGTAGATATCATGTAGATCCAATTGTGTTGTATTAGTTTCTTCTTTAAGACCATTGAGGGTACCTTGTATAGTCATTAAGGTGAAACCGGCGTAGAAACAGGGTGGCAGGAGGTATGAGGGGATGGAGGATAGTTGGAAGGGGATTGTGCTACTTGAGCCAGTAATAAATTCAATCTCACTTGTACCTTTCTTACCAAGTAACGTGGCTATACCATCGGGGTTCTTACTCAATTGTTGAAACAGACTACTATAGGGCAGAGCCATTAGCCAATAGAGCATTTCTCTAATGGTGGTTGGGACCCGATTAGGGTCACCATTTGTGAATGTAGATTGAAAATAGTAGGTGGAGCATATGTAGAGAGTGGAGAGGGGGTGTTGGTCTGGGTTGTTAGAGTTAGCAACATTATTTAGTAAGCCATTCCCATTTGTATCAGTGATATATTGTATGAAAATGGAGTAGGGACATTTGATTATTTCGGTATCCGGTTTTACATTATTCTTGCCATTGGTTTCGGGCTTATAATCGGTTAGTTTTTTGGATGAGGAATCACTGAATTCTTGGAAACCAGTGCCATTGGTACCAAGTAATGTGCCAAGATTTGTACCAGTCATGCCATTATTAAGATGTTTTTTTGGATCCTTATCATAGCCTGAGCAGATGAAATAGATGCCAAGCGGGTTGGTTTCGTGGATTTTATAAGTGCCCTTACACCAACGTTGACCACCACCTTTACCTTTATTACACTGCCAATAGAGATAACTCAAACCACTGAAGATAACGGGGATAGTGCCGAGGAAGATGGAAGCACACTTTTCGTGGTCACCATTTTTACATTGGTCATCCCATTTGGCACCTTTATCATAGGAAGAAAAGGTAGATTCGGAACCTTTCTTACCAATACCACTACCGGTCAAGGAATCAGTACCATTCCAACCAATAAAACTTTGCAACTTCTCGGCCAATGTTTTGATCAATTGACCAGTGGTCAACTTATCTTTTACTGTTTCAAGCACTTGTTTATGATTTTGAAGTTTCTTTTTGGCAGCTTCATTGGCACCATTGAGTTTGCTAATTTCCTGATTCAAGTAATCTTCCGCCTTTTTGAGCAACTTCTCAACCTTCTTTCCGAGATCACCGGATTTATCACCACCATTCTGCCCATCCTTATTCGTCACCCTTAGAATCCAATCAATACACTCCTTCAGGTTACCCGGGGGGCACAAAAGACTTTGATGTGGTCCAGTGCCATTACAACTACACACCGTCTTCGACATTCCCCGACATCTTATTTAAATATCCTACTTACAACATAAGCGTCCATCATGACTACGCGACATGGGGAATATTGGTGCACCATTCTACACCACACGCTTGGGACAACACCTGGTGTCACTCAGACTGATAAAGTACTCTTCACATAGTTTACTTGATATCCCTTTAAAAACACTATGGAGTATTCCCCGTTCTGCGTCTGTGTACCCATGTTCCGAGTTGAACCACTTGAGGCAGGCACGACCCACCCTCGGTTGCACGCCGACTATCGCCAACAGTTTGTCCCAACCCGTGGTTGCATATTTTCGACCTTCATCGAACGGCTCGAAATGTGCCCCTAGGTTACGCAGTGCCATGGCTGTGTCCATCCCTCTCTGGTGTATCCACCCCCGGATAGCCTCGGCTTCGGCCAGGGTCACCACCACGAACCTCCGTCCCGGATCCAAGATACACAATGACCTTTCACAGTCCGA